CAGAACTATTGGATTTGGTTGGGTTTTTTTTTTGTTTTATGTGGGTGTGTGGGGGCTTCTGTAGCTCAGATTGACATCAAATTCCTGATATTCCTGCCTTCTTCAAAGTGCTATGATCACAGGTCAAAGGCTGCAGTAGACAACCACAAGTTCAAAGCCAGTTTGGGGCTACATAATCTGACCCTGTCTCAAACTGACAAAGAAAACTTAATTTCTCTGGGGCAGACAGGGAGGGAGGGGCTAACTCAATAGAATACTTTTTTCCTAACATGTGTGGGGCCCTGGGCTCAAGCCTACCTCCCCCCCCCCAAAAAAAAAAAACCTCATGACATACTATTCCTTGGGTTATACATTGTATAGCTAAAAGCTGCTGTGTCTTTAGATAGATATGATGTCCTGGAATGCAAAAGGCCTAAAGAGTGTAGAGTCTGCACATTAGTTCATGTGTACTTTTGTATGTGTATTTTCTTTTTAATTGTGATGTATTAAAACCACAGTTAAAATATTGAAGGAATTTTGAGCTAATATTTATTATGAGCAATATTTCTTCATTCTGCAACTTTAATTATGAGTGACTCCAGCCCATTTCCAGGAATTAAAGCAATCCATAACACAATAATAGAAAAATAAATGCTTCTAAAGCAGTGGTTCTCAACCTTCCTAGTGCTGTGACCCTTTAATATAGTTCCTCATGTTGTGGTGACCCCCAACCATAAAATTATTATTACTACTTTTTGTTTTTGTTTTTTTTTTCGAGACAAGGTTTGGAGCCTGTCTTGGATCTCGCTCTGTAGACCAGGCTGGCCTCGAACTCACAGTGATCCGCCTGGCTCTGCCTCCTGAGTGCTGGGATTAAAGGCGTGCGCCACCACTGCCTGGCATAAAATTATTTTTATTGCTACTTCATAACTGTAGTTTTGCTGCTGGGCGGTGGTGGAGCACGCCTTTAATCCCAGCACTCGGGAGGCAGAGCCAGGTGAATCTCTGTGAGTTCGAGGCCAGCCTGGGCTACCAAGCGAGTCCCAGGAAAGGCGCAAAGCTACACAGAGAAACCCTGTCTCGAAAAACCGAAAAAAAAAAAAAACAACTGTAGTTTTGCTACTATTGCAAGTCATAAATACCTGTTTTTGGACTGTCTTAGGTTACCTCTCTGACAGGGTCACCCAACTCCTAGGTTAAGAACCACTGTCCTAAGTGATTCTTACAGAGAAATATTTTTATAAATGTATGTATTTTAAGATAAAACTTCATGGAAAACTTCGGTAATGAAGGCTTTATGCTCTTTCTTAATAGTAAAATTGGAGAAGAACAATCAGCAGAAGATGCAGAAGATGGGCCTCCAGAACTCCTGGTATGCATTAGATTAAATATCATATGCACACTGCATTATTTCTCATTAGCCTATCTCAGGAATGGGTCAGAGCTTCAAAGTTTTGCTTGCCAGTGATTTCAAAAAGAAAGTCCAGGAGGTTATTGTGATTAGGTTCTGACATTTATCACAAATAGTAAATAGAGCCCCAGAAGGTTTTTGGAAATGGTTAAGTGATGGTAACTTGTACTCCTGGAAAATAGTATCTTTGAGAGTAAGCCAGTAAGCCCAAGACCCAGATGTTTACTAACTCCCACTTTGTGTAAGCTCCCTATCCTCTTTGGCTCCTGTGCCCAGTAGCTTCAGACAGAAATAAGCAAAAGGATGATAGGAGCGTTATATAAACCAGGATGTTTGGCATTCATTATCATTGCTGCTTAAAGAATAATCCTACAACCCAGGAAGCTCAAGTAGGAAAGGAAGGCCATGAGTTTTGAGGCCACGGGACAGTGTGTTGCCCTGACAGGGGTGCTAAGTAAAATTATTTCTCAATAAACTGTTACCATAATAAGATGGTGGCATCTAAATATTTTATTGTGGATGACTTATTCTGAAGTCCTGTTTGTGAACCAGAACCTTCCTGGTTTTTAAAGCATTTTCAGAAAGGCCTTTGTCTACAGCCAGTTTCCTCCTTTATATATTATGAATTTGCAGTAATTTTATAGTCCTTAAGATAAACCACTAGGGGGCTAGAGATGGCTCAGCAGTTAAGAATACCTACTACTCTTGACCAGAGTTCAGTCCAGTGCCCATGTCAGGTACCTCACAATCTTAACTCCAGCTCCAGAGGGATCCAACACATTTGGCTTCCATGGGCACTGCACTCGCGTGTACATACTCAGACATACACATAAATACTTTTTAAAATCTATCACGATTTTGCTGTATTTAAAGAAAGCTTGAAGTTAAATAGTACTCTTACTATTTAAGAATAATAAATTAGTAGCTAGAGAGGTAGTTCAACAGGTAAAAGCTAAGGGGTCAGAGGTTTGAACCTGGCTTACAGAGCAAGAGCCTGTTTTGGGGGGTAGGGTGGGGAGGCCATGAGATTCATTTGTAAAGCTGTTTACCATACCATTTCACTTAATGGGGAAGTTGTTTTTCCCTTTTCTTTTTTTGGAGATGAGCTCTATCTAGCCCAGGCCTCAGTCTCAAGTGCTGAGATTACATCTCATGTTCTTTTAAATGATAAGATGATTGGGGCGTTTTATTTAAATATTAGGGCTTTTTATTTAGATTGAATATAAGCTAATTGGCAGAGAACTCATTGTCAAACTAAAGTCAAACTTTTTTTTTTTTCTTCCAAAGAATCAAGTCCTCTAAGTTCTGATACGAAGTATATTAAGCACAGTGGCCTTTTTTGTTGTGTTTTTTCGTGACATGGCTTTTCTGTGTAGCCCTGGCTGTCCTGGAACTTGCTCTGTAGGCCTCAAAGTCATGTAGACCCACCTACCTCTGCCTCCTGAGTGCTGAGATTAAAGATGTGCACCATCACCACCTGGCCTGGCACAGTGCCTTCTTATGAGGTGTAATCTCTTAGAGAAAATAAGATCTCTTCCTTTGGCATTTCTTGGGGAAAGGTCCTTGGCCTATGCTGCAGTCTGGTTCTCAGTATTGTTTTTTTAAGCCCAAGTCTCTATATTATACCTTGGGAATATAAAGGAGGGGGAGGATGCCTAATGTGAAAGAGGGCTAGAGAAGAACCAGGAGATTATCAGACATGTTGGAAATGCTTGGTTACTGTTCATTGTTCTCAGTTTGGAAGTGGTGGCATGGTTACAGAAAAATGTTCTTATGGGCAGAGGCCAGAGAACTTAGGAATGGAATGTCCTACCTGCTATTTAAGATATGAATAACTTGCTTGAGCCATTTGAATGTGTGGACAGAACACATTAGCAAAAAAAATAGTATTTGGTGAGTCTAGGTAGAGTATACAGGTGTTCACTGTAGTATTCTAGTCCTTTTTCTGAAAGTTTGAAAGATTTCAGAATATTGGGGTTGGGAATAGATTACAGAGCCCGTGTCATGCTACCTCTAAATTGTGGGTCAGCCTAAGAAGACTGTTCTAGAAACTATTTTAAGTCTTGGAAGCTTTAGGATAGGAAAGGATATGAAACCAAGACATTTGTTTTTCATTAAGTTTATTCATGGAGGACATACTGCCAAGATTTCAGACTTCAGTTGGAACCCCAATGAACCTTGGGTCATTTGCTCAGTGTCTGAAGATAACATCATGCAGATATGGCAGATGGTGAGTTGAAACATTTTTTTATAACTCTTGGAAAACCGTTTCCCAGGTGATAGGATGTAATAGAAATATTTCATTATTTAAGTGACTTTAAAGTTATAGGATGGGAACAGTTTAAAGAAACCTTTTCTGAGCCTACAAAATGGCTCGGCATGTAAAAAGCACTTGCTTCACAAACCATATGACCTAATAAGATCAGTGCCTGAAACCCATGTAGAAGTGGAAGGAGAGAACCAACTCCACAAAGTTGTTATCTGACCTCCACACATGTACACGTGTATACACAATAGCAATAATTAAAATTTCTTAACCCTTTATCATTTTAATACCATCTTATCCACACATTCATATAAACAACATGCACAACATCTGCTTGATGTTTGTTATTATTGTACTGCTAGCTGGAGTCTTGACATTGTTCTCGTCTCTGGTATCAGTGCTGTCACACAACGATATGGTAGGAAAATGTTAAGGTGTTTAAAGATGCTGAATTCTCTAACGAGGAACACTAAATATTTGACATTTCTAAGGTTCTGAGTTAACCATTGCTCCCTCTAAGTGATGCTTAAAATGTTTTCAGATGATGCTTTTTCTGAACAGTGACTAAATAGTATGTGGGTGACTAAGTATGTCTAGGGAATTCCATACTGGCAAATAATTTAAAGGGTACTGGCCACTGAAACAAATTTGACAGTAACTTAAAATGCATATTCACAGATATAAATTCTGTTTTTACCTGTGAATTTATTTGGTTGTTATCTCCAGGCTGAAAATATTTACAATGACGAAGAGTCAGATGTCACAACATCGGAACTGGAGGGACAAGGATCTTAAACCCAAAGTATGAGGTGTTTCTGTTGAATGTATTGCTACATGAATGCTTGATTTATCAAGCGCCAAAAAGGCATTGTATAGTAGGAAATGTAAGTGGGATGGCTTATGGCGTTCTTTACCCTCTGATTCTAGCACTTTCAAGTGAGCTGTTGCGTACTGTATCATATTGTAGCTATTAGGGGAAAAAAGGAATGTTGCTTAAGAAAGGGCATCATTATTGTTTTAAAATACACGTTGCTGGGTATTGCCTTTGATTCAACTGTTTTAAGTCCTCATTTTCTCAAACTTTTAAGTGCTTGCTGAAGTTCCCAAATATGCAAGGATAACTTTTACACTTTTTCCTTCCAACACTTCTTGATTGGCTTTGCAGAAATAAAGTTTTAAAATAAAGTTTGTTTTGTTCTTTTAGAAGCTGGGGAAGGGGTGGATGTGTGTGCATGCTCCCATACATATCTCCTTTCTCTGGTAAAAATAGGTAAAATTGTTCCTTCCCATGTGTACGCAATTAAGGCCACACTGGCAACCAAAGAATACACGGAAGCTGTTAAATTCATCATACATATTTACTTAATATGTATCTATACAGAATCGAGTAGATAAAATCAGATTCACGTTAGTGAAAAATCTCTACAAAATGTCTTTGAAAAGCAAAACAAGACTGCCTCTTAACAATTCATATCCTCATGAAAGACGTGGGCTGTAAAAATAAAGCAGTGTGTTTAGCACAAACTAGAAGATATCTGCATCATTTTTTCACAGTTATTTCCATCTACAGTCTGAAAGAGGTAGATTTTTCTGCAACACCTGAGAATTGAATTGTGATAACCAGGTGTGTAATAAAGGCAGTTGCATACATAACTAAAAAATACTGGTCTCAAGACCAGGAAATGTACTTCTACAAGTCTGAGGATGAAATGGCCTGATATTCAAGACCCAAGTTTTCGCTACATTTTTGGGGTCTACTGCCACTATAAATATACATCAAGATCGCATGGTAGTGCACCAAATGCAGTAAGTGAATTCAACATTTAAACCTTTTCTGAGCCAGCCTAGTAGCATTACAGTGTTCTATAATATGGTAGATACAGGGCGTGCTACAAAGCCACAACACTGGGCTGGTGAGGTGATCACTTTAGGGGAGGGTATCCTTCTCTGAGGTCCCATTTGTATTCACAGGGTAATGGGAGGAAAGATTCTGAATGCATCTCAGACAGAATCCCTATCCTCCAAACATCTAGCTAAAAATGCATGTAAGCCAAAAGCAGCAGGCCAGGACTGTTAATCACATTGCTTTATGAAGCCCTTGAAAATATGCAACAGGTCCAAGATTTACAGTCTTCCACACAGGACGAGCACCACAAAAAATGTGGCAAGCTACACACATGGCTTAATAAAATGTTAAGAGCTGTGTATCCAGCAGACTTATGAAATGTGATCATTAGTAATAATTTCCAAGTAGATTATATTTCTGATGTACCTTCATGGGAAATGATCCAGTATTTTCTAGTAGCTGAAGGTGGGAGAGTATTTATAAGAGGCTATTGGAAGGTATTGTTTTTGTTTCTGACACACTTGGACAGTAATAAGATTACAATCTACTTTAAAAATTTCTTTTCCTCCACTGTCTGACCCCTTGATTAACATGACCAATGGTGAAAGTTTAGAAAGATATAATACTCTACTCCAGGGACTTTTTTCTATCTTTTGAACAATTTTCAGTTCTTTGAACCCAGTTCAGACCATGAATGTGACAGGAGTTTACAAATAAAACTTGTAGCACAGAGAAATGGAGTTTATTTAGTCCAGTAAGCAATTTAGTCTGATAGTTTTGCTCAATAGAATGTGGTTTATAGAATTTCCATGCAAATTGTACCAAGACAATAAAGACCTTCTAGTAGTTTGCATGGCTGAGCCACATTCAACACTGAGAAAACAAAAAGAACTAAGACATGTTTTGAAATTCCCCAATTTAAAGTGTAGAAACGTTAATACTGGTTTGTTTTATCTTGTTTTAAGTGACAGCATCAAAGAAAGGAGAAATGGACCAGAAAGCATAAGTTAGAGGTCTTCTTGACTATGTAAACAATCTGCCAAGTCTTCCCAAGATAGAAAAAATGCTGTTTCCAGTGTTTTTACTTTGGAAATTAAATGTTTCAGTTAGTGCTGATCCGTAATTTAAATTCTCTTTCAGGAAACAAAATAACTAGCGTTCTTTGCTGATGGAACTTGTAAACCCAGGGCCTCTTATGATAGGCAAGTGCTTACCACTGAGCACATCCATAGCCCCTGGTGAGAGTCTTAGAGCAAATGAACAACCAATTTTCATATAGCCAAAATGTAGGGGGTGAAAAAAAGCTTTTGCCTAATACAAGCTCCATATGAATTTATTCTTGTTCTAAACTCACAAAGTACTGCAAGGAAGAGCAGTTTTCAAAGAATAATCAGCTTTTTCTGTGAAGTGGAGAATATGTACATAAACCACCACCATCCACTACAGTGATCATCAGGTAGTCCAGATTAATTTCACATGTGGTACATTGTATCCCAAAACCAGCACAGTATGACTTATTTTTAGTTGCAGAAACATTAAGCCCGTTCATCCAATTTTGTTCACAAGTAACATTTATATATGTTCCACCAGAACTTCAAGGTTGTCATCTCAATTTCTCAAGTAAATCAAGAAAAGCTAATTTGAATGAAAAATGCTAAGCTTGTTTCTGACCTGTCCCCCATCCCCCTTTATTTAAATAGGCTATTAAGCAAAGGTAATCATCTTGGTATTTTCCTTTGACTAACATTAATGGGCCAGGATGTTTTAATTTAAATTGTTTTCACATCAAGGAACTATCCTGAGAACATAGTTCCTCAAATGGCCCTGTCTTGAATGATACTTTAATTAGGAAAATTAGGTGCAAGGAGCAGAAAGGACAAAGCAATGAAGACATGCACGCCAACAAAGGGGGGAAAATGAGGCAGATGTGCAACATAGTTTAAGGAAATTTATAGATTAAAACTATTTCAAACTGCTAAGCAGCCTCCTGTACCACATAAGTCCAGTAGTTCTAAGAAAATACAGATATGGTAGAAAAAGTAAGAAAAATTTCACCACAAAACCAATAGTTACTACTAACAGAGGAATTTATACACAAAATATATCTCTCAATACAGTGATCACATTTCACCCTAGTCAACTGACTCAATGCCTTTCGCAGAACCTGAAGATGAGGGCTTTTGTGTGGCACTTCTTCTCTCACTCACTGACTTGGCTTTGGCCCTAGACTCCAAGTGCATTCCCAGGGCTCTTCTTGAAGCGTTCGTCTCCTTGAACGAATCCAGGGCAGCACAGGGCTGCATCGCAGGTGACACCAAGTCCCCATCTGTTGCTTTGATAGAGACCTGCTCTTTCAGGACTTCCACCTTCTCGTTGAGCTCATTTCTCTCTGTCTGAAGAGCCCTGCACAGCTTCTCTAACCGTTCCAGTTTTATTTGAAAGGCCTTGTACTCTTTATCACGGACAGTTTTCTGTTGTATTTTTTTTTCAAATGAAAAAACAAAACCAGTCGACAGTTCCATAACCTCATTAAATACAAATCAGGTATTGTTTGTAAACAAAAAAATAACTGAGCTGAACCAAATTGGAAACTATCTGTTATTGTCTATTATACATGTTTAGTTGAAACTAAACAAGTTAGTATACCTTGACTGCCTATGCATCTTAAGTATAGGAATGCTATTTAACATAATGTTTAAATTCCATTTCTTTAAAAATAGATAAAATCCCCTTAACTTGATAAAAATTTCATGTTAACTTTTAACTTAACGAAATTGAAGGTAGTTGTCAAAGACTTGTAAAACTAAGCATATTTAAAACAGTTTTTTGTTTTGTTTTTAGTGACACAGGGTTTCTCTGTCTAGTCCTGGCTGTCCTTGAACTCAGAGATCCGCCTGCCTCTCCCTCCCAAGTGCTGGGATTAAAGGCAGGTGCCATCACTGCCTGGCAGAATAAGATTCTTATACATGTGTGCTCCAATATTGTACAGTCCTCTCAAATTTGTGAAGATGTTATAGGAGGAATATTGATTCAAGTTTGAGAAAACATTGTATCAGAAGATGCTCGAATTAACTGGCAATAAAATGCTTGAACCTTCAGGACCCTTTATCACTATCCAGCTACCAGGAAAGGCATCAGTCTATTCAGTAACTATCATTCTATGCATAACTAATGACACATCCTATCTCAGGAAACATCTTACCTCTTCAGCCATCTGCAGAAGTGCTTTATTATTATTTTCCCATTTGGTGCGCCATATCATTGTCTCTTTTTCCAGTTTTTTAATTTTCTTTGTCATCTGTAAAAAAAAAAGTTAAATTTTCTTTATATATGTGAATATATAAAGACTGCATGTATGTATGTGTACAACATATGTGCCCGGTGCTCTCAGGAGGTGAAAAGGCATCAGATCCCCTGGAACTGGAGTTATGGATGGTTGTGAGCCACCAGGTGGATGCTGGGAATTGAACTCCAGTCCTCTGCAAGAACAAGTAAGCTTAACTGCTGAGCCATTTCTCCAGGCCCTAAATTCCATTTCTTATTCTACCCGCTGTCCTATCACAAAAGCTTTAATGTTGTTCCCCTCTCTGTCACTGCATTTGCCTCACTGAGCTGTCAGCTCTCTTGTCTTCAAAGACTAAAAATTGATACGCTACGATAAGCTCCAATCATTTGAAAACTAAAGTGGAATTTAATTAATACTTCTTGAGAAATTAAAGTTATGTTTTAGTTATCTTCACAACTCATACCTTGAATTTTGCTAAAGATGATAAAGTAGGCCCAAAAGAATCAAGGGAACACTTTCTGTGTTGTGTGTGTGTGGTGGGGGGGTGGTCCCACTATGTAGCCTTGGCTGGTTTGGAACTTGGTATGACCAGGCTGGCCTCAAATTCAGAAGTCTGTTTGCCTGTGCTTCTGGATTGTTAGGATTAAAGGCATGTAATATCATGCCTGGGCAAAGGAACAGTCTTAAACCACTGCTAATTTATCTATGCCTATCATTTGGTCACATTCTCAATATTCCTTTGTCCACTGAGTTCACACAAGCTATGATTTTCATGTCAGGACACTGAGCCAGGTGCTGTTAAGGGAACCAACAAAGCAGACCAGATGCCTTTTACTGGTGGCTAACACAACAAACGAGGACAAAGGTGGTGGAAGGAGCTCATGGAAGAACTGAGTTGAGTACTGACCCACAGTGATCTATATTTTTCCACCCCACAGGATCTTCCACAAGGATAGCAAATTTGGGGTATCCCTGTCTTGAACTCTGTTCCACTTCAACAGTGAGCATGTGCTGGAATTCAGCTAATACTTACTGTGCCTAACAGTTACCCCTCGATCGGATTATCAACTCAAAGGACTGGTAGGCAGAACAAATCTGCTGCTCATGGAATTCTCCAGATAACTAGGTCTAAAAATACTTCAAGGTGGTAATCTGAGCACTTTTTAGCTCATGGTAATTGAGCACATGTTTAATGAGCCAAACACTATCTGAAATTGGTGGGTCTTTTTTATTTTCTTTAAAGGGCCAGTAAGGTGTTTGCCACCAACCCTGATGGACCTGTTTGGTGTAAGGAGAGAACCTACTCACAGAAGTAGTAGTCCTCTGCCCTCCACACATGTGCCATTGCACATGTGCATACACACACAAAGTAAATGGGGAGCACAAAGTCAGAACTTGTCAATAATCACATTTTTAAAAGATTTATATTTTATTTATGTGTGTATCTATGTGCACATGGCTGTGGGTGCCCATGCAGATCAGAAGAGGGCATTGGATTTTCAGGAGCTAGAATTACAGGTATTTATGATCTTGACATGGGTACTGAAACTGAACTGAGCCCTCTGGAGGAGTGGCCGGCACTATTAACCACTGAGCCATCTTCCAGCTCCATAGTTATTTTTAGTTGAGTATATTCATGTGTCTGAGGGTATATATGCACATGAGCAAAATGCCCACAGACAGCAGAATAGGGCATCAGATCACTTGGAGTTACAGATGGTTGTGAGCCACCTAACATGGGTGCCTTGGGAACAGCAACCAGGGCTCCAATAAAATGGAGACATTGACTCAGCATGCATTTTTGTTTTTAAGATTTATTTATTTATTTATTATGTATACAACGTTCTGCCTGCGTGTATACCTGCAGGCCAGAAGAGGGCACCAGATCTCATTATTGATGGTTGTGAGCCACCATGTGGTTGCTGGGAATTGAACTCAGGACCTCTGGAAGAATAGCTAGCACTCTTAACCTCTGAACCATCTCTCCAGCCCAAGCATGCATTCTTGGCTACTATGTAAGATAGAATAATAATCATGGCTTACACTCTACATTATACTTTTCAACACCACTTGAAAAAAATTCACCACTATAGTTTGATGTGGAGTGTACCAGTAAGCCCCAGTTATCTGGGCTGGGAGGCTGAGGATTGAGGCAAGAGAACTGCTTTAATCCTAGAGTTTAAGAGCAGCCGGGGCATCATAGTGAAACTCCTAAAACATAACAAAAAATGGGGTGTGGTAGGGTAAGCTTGTAGAGTATCAGATATTCAAAGTCACATCAAATTACGCCAGTCTGATCAACAAAAGCTTTTTAATGTGGGCAAGAAAAGGAATTTTTTTTTTGAAAGGATTGGAAGTAAGCCTGTTAAGTGATTAAAAAGGCCTATTTCTAGTAAAGAAGTTAGTAGGGAATTGGTGTCTTTAATCCCAGTCTTTGGGAGGCAGAGGCAGGTGGATCTCTTGAGTTTGAGGCCATCCTGGTTTACAGAGCAAATTCCAGGATACACAAGGCAACTCTGTTGTGAAAAAAAAAAAGCAAACAACAAAAAAGAATTTGCTATAAATAAGGAAAAATCCTAAAAGTATAAAGATAGCTATTTGGGGGCACACTAAAGAATAAAGTGACTAAATACTGCCCTGTATTTGGAAAAATAGTATCATAACAATATAAACTCAACCCAAGTAGTAATAAAGAACTCGTAACATCCCTTTTACATTTCAGTCCACTGAAAAAATATACAAATACCTTTTCCATCTCCTGCCTGAAGGTTGTAAAAAGTTCATTGCTTTTTGCCATAGTAGTCTGGAATTCTTCAAACTTATCCATATAAAGAGAAAGCTACAGAACAAAATAGATAGGTCAGTTATTCTGAGTTCCAGGTAAACAATTCAAACTCTTTCTACATGATGGTATTTGTTATAAATTACAGAGGAGCAAACATCCAATCTCTGGATAGCAGACAAATGGCTAAAATTCTAACTCACAGATCTAATACTTGGGAAGCTTATTGCTGCTAACATAGATTTAAAGTGCAGAAACAGCCGGGCAGTGGTGGCGCACGCCTTTAATCCCAGCACTCGGGAGGCAGAGCCAGGCGGATCTCTGTGAGTTCGAGGCCAGCCTGGACTACCAAGTGAGTTCCAGGAAAGGCGCAAAGCTACACAGAGAAACCCTGTCTCGAAAAACCAAAAAAAAAAAAATAAATAAATAAAGTGCAGAAACATTAGCATTAATTCTAACCCCATTAATTAAAACTCAATGGGTGTGACAGTTAGAAACTTCACACACCTGCAAATGCTTTGAACTACCCCTCTCCACAATGAATATTAACCATTTTTCTGCAAAGTTCTTAGCTTTAGTATCAAGGATCAGGCATAAAGGTAGTTGGGGATAGTGAGATGATTTAGGAAAGAACAAAAACTAAAACACTCTTTTTAACTTGAAGGAATTTGTATTCAAGATGAATTAAAATTATATGTATAAACGATACATAAAAAATTTATATATAATACGTGTAATATATAAATTATAAAAAGCCAGTCATCTCATCATCTCAACCTTTATTCTCCTTTAGAAAAAACCCTCTACAGAAGAGAGGACATAGTATGAGAGTCAGAAGAAAGGAAAAGCTTTATGTTCAGGAGAGAACCCTTCAGAGATGGTTTGATATCATTACAAGGAAACAAGTCCAGAGGAAGAGAGTCTTTTCTGCTCCCGAAATTATGAAATATGCCTGAGATCACAAAATACACCTAAGTAGAGGGGCAGGCTGGAAAGACGACTAAGAGTGGTTGCTGTTCTTGGAGAGGATCTGGGCTTTGGTTCCCAGTACCTGAATGCATGGAGGCTCATAACTATCTGTAATTCCCTTTTGTGACTCTGCACCAGGCATGTACATATACATAGGCAAAGCATTCACGCACTTTTAATCTTACAAAGTAGAGAGGGCATTTGCTTAGCATGTGCAAGGCCCTAAGTTCAGTCCCCAGTAATGAACCAAATAAGGGAGGAGAGGAATGAGGAATACATACAGTTCACTAGACACCAAAAAACCATGTAATTAGTGATGAAAAGAATTATAGATAACATCATCTAACAAAATGTGGGAGGCTGAGATGGGATATGATGGAAGGTAGCCCACCCACAGTTCTAGGTGGATGTGCCATATGGGAAGTACTTGGAGCAGGTGCTGCTGTGGGGGAAGCAACAGCAGACAAAGTTCATCAGGCTAGAAGTGATCACTGGGAGACAGGCAAGAACCAGTACCTGCGGAAAAGTGTAGGAAAAGAACAGGAACTGCAATAGAATGCCAAGGATTGAGCAAAAGCCAGTGGAGTAGTTGTTCCTAACAATACATCTGAGGCTGACAGCCTGAAGTCAGGGACAACCATGGTGCTCAAGTTGAGGAAAAAACTTTCAGCACTTGGAATTAGACACTCCAGTAGTTTCAGTGAGGCCTGTTCTAACTGAAGATAGGGCATCCAAAGAAAGGCTGTCTGCCTCTTTTGACAGTTCAATGCTGGCCCACAGTAGTGCACAATACTTGGACTTGATGGCTAATGAGATACCACAGTAAAAAGCAGCAAATGAGATCAGCTCTTGGAAAGGATGGTAATGTTCAGATAATAGAAAAAGAAGTGACAGCAGGGGAAACAGTAAGATGGCACAGGTCAGATAGCTTATCAACATCTGCAGAACATGGACCACATCCACATAGATTCTCATGTCCATTCATTTGTACAACTGAATGCATAGGACTAACAAGTAATGGATTTGAATTTCCTGCCAGCCTTCTGGCATGACCATAACCTATGGTGAAAGTTCCAGAGACTTCTGATAGATACCTGTTAAAATTTGTACTCTTAAATTAGGCTAGTTTTGCCGGGTGGTGGAGGCACACACCTTTAATCCCAGCACTTGGGAGGCAGAGGCAGGTGGATCTCTGAATTTGAGGCCAGCCTGGTCTACAGAGAGAGTTCTAGGACAGAGCAGTTAACACAGAGAAACCCTGTCTCAAAAAAAGTTAGGATAGCTTTGTAAGAAGTTAATGTCACCAATACTGTAAAATGTCCTACCCTAGCCCCAAAAATAGTGTCCAGAAGAGGAGGTGCTTATAAAGATTCATGCCGAGCCGGGCGGTGGTGGAGCACGCCGCCTTTAATCCCAGCACTCGGGAGGCAGAGGCAGGCGGATTTCTGTGAGTTCGAGGCCAGCCTGGACTACAGAGTGAGTTCCAGGAAAGGCGTAAAGCTACACAGAGAAACCCTGTCTCAAAAAAAAAAAAAAAAACCCCCCCAAAAAAAAAAAAAAGATTCATGCCAGGCATAATGTCTTAGTCTATTTAGAGTTATTTTATTTTTTAAGATTTATTTATCCATTACGTATACAGTGGTCTGCCTGCATGTATGTCTGCAGGCCAGAAGAGGGCATCAGATCTCATTATAGATGGTTGTGAGCCACCATGTGGGTGCTGGGAATTGAACTCGGGTCCTCTGGAAGAACAGCCAGTGCTCTTAACCTCTGAGCGATCTCTCCAGCCCTAGAGTTATTTTAAAAAGCCTTGCAATAAACCTGAAAAAAATTTCAATAAACCTAGTTAGCTAAAAGGGAATATAAGTACAAACACCTAATTACACTTATTAAGACAGAAGTCTGTCTTGTACCTTCTCAAGTAAAGAGATGGATGGTACACACTACCCTTACTCCAAACATTGTAACAGAACACCTACAGAATCCAGAATGAAAAGGGGGGGGAAAGCTTTGGCTAAAAGCATTTCACAAAACTACCTACAAGTGGAACTATGGTTATAAGCAGTTTAAAAACAGCTTACGTGCTAAATTGGCACAAAACTACAAATAGGTTAAGGTGTGTGAAATTCTATAACATTCTTTAAATCTGGAAGCTTGTCAGTTTCCTTTAGTGGGAAATAACACAAATGAGAGCCATTAAAGATGGATAACTAATCATCCCACTTGGGCTGAGATTTGGGAGTGGGAGCCTACTAAGATAGGTCTTTTAGTACTAAAACCAGGGACACTCAAATTTGCATGGTCACCCTAAATGAAAAGAGACTTCAAAGAGATATGTGAGATTGCTTTCTTAACCTTGGTTAGCTCTTGCTGGGAAGAGGCAAAACCATGTTAGAAGAGATTCAAGATATGTATTAAATGAATCCTTTTTCTTACAAATTCTGCTATCCCCAACTATCAAGTTACCTGCTGTTTTAGTTGTACTTCTTGCTGTTTCATTTGTTCATATTTGTGCCTGGATTCTGTTGCTTCTTTTAGTAACTAGAAAACAGAAATATTCTTGCAAAAGTACTAATAGCAATCGCAAATATGAATATAATGTCAAATAATCATGGAGTTACACATCTTTTCCACTATTTTAGCAAGAATGACTACCCTGAAAATGGAATACCTTCTTTCCAACAGTTGCCATTTACATTCACCTTCCATCATTATGGTTTTTAGCAATACTTACAGAAGTAGAAAGACATTTTTTACTGTTTAAATAGGAAAAGGTACTGTGGAGGCCTAAAACAACTTACAATATTGAGGGTTTAAGGGTGGTATTTAGGTTGAAAATAATCACGTCTATATTAGCAGAAAACATAGCTAAGTACCTCAAACATGGCTGAGAAAGCTTCTCTACTCCCTGAGGAGCAAGATAAGACTGGGTAAAACAGTATGGAGAAAAGCAATGAAATTAGAGAACAGGTTTCTGAGCATTTAAAAAAAGAAAAAAACAAAACAACTAGTAGAGACCTGGCAGCGATGATGCTTCAGTTGATAGAGTGCTTGCCTAACTATTATGCACAAAGCCCTGGGGTTCAATCCTCAGCACTTTATAAATTGGGTGTGGTGGTGCAAGAGGAACTCAAGGTCATTCTCCAGCCAGGGTTACAATATGAGACCCCAAGTAACAAACTCACAAAATAAAGTTACACCAATTAAATAATTTCCCCAGTGTCAAGTTGTTCAAAAACAGAACCAGGGCATATGGTGGTGCATATCTTAATCCTAGCACTCAGGAGACAGAGGCAAGTGGATCTATGAACAGAAGCAGCCAAAAGCTTTCTAGAGCTAATAATTAACTATCATACCCCATGGGTGACATTCAATGTTTTAGTTAAAATACTGAAAATACCTTTTTTTTTTTCTTAAGGAACAGAACTTACAAACTCTCTCTCTCTCTGATGTTTTTCATCAGCTTCTTTTATCAGCTGTGTTGTTTGCTGAAGTTTGGCATCCACAAGTTGTTGTTGCAATTCCTTGTGCTTGAATACTTTATCAATGTGCTATGAAAAAAGAATTCATTCCATCACTTCATAAATAGAGGACCACAATGAGGAGGAAATACAAGATGTTACAACACTCTGCTTGCCCTGCTTTCCTATTAATAATACCACATAACTAACAACATTAGGTCTTTCTGTCCCTATACCTACAGCAGTGTTTGACACCACCTGCAAGAACACTGCCCTGTTGGAGCTAGGCACCACCACCACAAGCTTTGAAATTTTTGTTTTTGCTATGTATTGAGAAAGTCACACATCAAGACAAAGGAGATCAAACTAATAGATCCATATACACACACCACTTTTTTCTGCCCATTCCTTTTTTTTTTTCTACCCATTAAATTTTGCTAAATTCCTCAATTGAGGGCATGAGGAGTCAAAGCCAAACCAAGGTAAATGAACTAGGTAAATTTCTGTCCTACTGAATCTCCATGCCAGTATCTGATACAACCATACCCAGTTTGCTTATGAACCATATAAGGTGCTTGGTGCCTAATGTATTTCCAAAGAAAACTGGTAAGTGGCTAGCTACACACACCGAAGCCATCAAAACATGCCACCTTGTTAGTGCAGAATTAGGATTCTTCCAGTTGTTGTATCAATGTGACAGGGAGAATGCTAGTGGGTGATAAGGAAGCCGAGGTAGTAACATGGCAGATTATTTTTCATTTATGAATTTGAACAAATGATTCTCTAATTTGCTACATCTATGAAAAAACAGCCCATTAAACCATAAAACTAAAAGAATCATCTTAAGAAAATTAGGACCAGGCCTGACCTGGCCTGGAGGTGCATGCCTTTAATCCCAGTAGGAGGATTTTTGTGATTTTGAGGTCAGCCTAGTCTACATAGCAAGTTCCAAGACAAGCCAGGATTACAGAGAAAACCAAAAAGAAAAAATTAGGGCTTTAATAATTTAATAATGGCAAAACTTTATTTAATAAGCTCTTGAATAATAAAAACCAGGCCAAGGAAATCTATAGTTTGGAGATGAGACATAAACTAGTGAAGTAGACAGACTTTATTTGGACTTAAGTCAGACTTTTTAGTAACAGGAAAGTAGGAGTGGTTAAGAGCTCTTGCAGAGGACCCAAGTTTGTTTTCCAGTACCTATGATGGACAGCTCACAAATGCCTGTAATTCCAGCTCCAGTGAGTCCAATACCCTCTTCTGACCTCTTGGGGCATTCCCCACACACATAAAATTTAAAAAGATAAGCAGATGCTAACTTCACTTTTTAGATGTGAAGATGATAAGACCAAAAACTTTCTGAGTTATACACTAAATATGAATTTAAGACCACTGGTTGCTCTTCCAGAGAATCTGGGTTTGAATCCCACCCAGCACTCACATGGTAGCTTACAACCAACTATAACTCCAGTTTCAGAGGATCTGACACTCTCTTCTGGCCTTACATGCACAGACACATGTGCTAACGGAACATCCATACACATAAAATAATTTTTAATGAGTTCAAGCCATAGGAGCTAGGGACATGGCTCAGCAGTTAAATGCGAGTACTGCTCTGAGTTTGGTTACCAGCACCCACCTTGGGCAGCTCACAGTCACCTATAATTTCAGTTCCAAGGAATCCAATCCTCTTCTGGCCTCTATGGCCACTGCACTTGTGTACAAACCCCCATCCAAAGACAAAACATATATACGTAATTAAAAATATACTTTTGAAAACTCAAAAAATATTCAGGGCAGTAGACAGTGAGACACTGAAAAACAAAACAAAAAAGCAGAATACTTGTAATCTTAGCACTCAGAAAGCAAAGACTGCATCTGCCACAAGTTCCAGGCCAGCCAGGAATAAATTGAGTTTCAAGTCAGCCTGGGTCACAGAAAAAGACAATTATTTAAAACAACAAAAAACTCACAAAAGACAGAGGTCTGGGTATAATTAAGTGATAAAACATACTTAGCATACATAAGGTTCCTGGGATTGATCCCAGCAATAAAAGATAAATAAAAAATAGGGTTGGGGGCCAGGTGGTGGTAGCACACACCTTTAATCCCAGTACTTGGGAGGCAGAGCCAGCAGGATTTCTGTGAGTTCAAGGCCAGCCTGGTCTACAGAGCTAGATCCAGGACAGACACCAAAGCTACACAGAGAAACCCTGTCTCCAGAAAAAAAAATAGGGTTGGGGGTTGCTAGCTTAGTAGCAGAAAGTCCTCATAGTATGGCCAAGGCCCTGGATTTGACCACTAGCACTGCAAAAACCTAAGTAGAAAAGAAATTAGTTTTTTAAATGTAAAGCTGAGTTGGGAGGTTCAAACAGGAGGCCATGAATTGGAAGCCACCCAGGGCAACAAGCAAAACCCAATCTCAATGAAAAAAAAAAAAAAACAAAAAAACAAACCTAAACCTGAAACACAGATGTAATGAAATGGCTATAGATACTGTATAGATTATCATAAATGTCTTGAGATGCAGGGTATTCTGGGACCAAACATTTATTCATTAGTCCAGATAAGAAAATAATCTGTGAAAATTGCCATCTTCTAATATTACATGGAACTAGTTCTTGACAAGACTCCTGGAAATTATCTTACCTATTCATGCAGATGGACTCTCAATTAATCCTTCTGGTTATGGGGTGGTTTGATCCTTTCCCTAGTCAATAAACACACCTTTTGCTACACATGAACAACTCTAAAACACCCTGCAGCAATACTTTGTTTTGTTTTTCGAGACAGGAGTTCTCTGTGGAGCTTTGGAGCCTTTCCTGGAACTCACTTTGTAGACCAGGCTGGCCTCGAACTCACAGATATCCGCCTGCCTCTGCCTCCCGAGTGCTGGGATTAAAGGCGTGCGCCACCACCGCCCGGCTAGCAGTACTTTTAAGTAAACAGAGAAGTTACCACTAACAGTGAGAAGTTGTGAAAAGCAATAGAACGCTATTACCTCTTCCCTCAGTGCATACTGCTCAATGAGCTTCTTCAGCTTCTCTCCCAGTTCGATGTTCTCCTGGCGGAGTTTGGCATTATGTATGTCATGTTGTTCCAATTGGGCTTGGATTTCATTTAGAGTAATCTGGAAATGTGCTGTTGCTTCTTTACGTCGTTCTTCTTCCTCTCGTGCCTGCTGCATATTTTCCTCCTTATTACCCAAAAGAATTTCTGTTAATAGCAGACCCATGGACAAAATGCTCAAAGAAGCTGCTGTTGCCAGGCCTATGATCCTAGCTACTCGGGGCTGAGAAGGAGATACCAAGTTCAAAGCCTGCCTGGGCTTAAAGAGTGAGTTAAAGAACAGTTTGGGCAACTTAGTGAGACCCTGTCTCAAACAAAAACTACAGGGTAGGGGAAATGGTTCAGTTGGTAAAGTGCTTGCTGCCCAAGTCTAAGGAGCTGAGTTCAAATCTCCGGCACTCACATAAAAAGTAGAGCATGGCAGCCTGTGCCTGTAATCCCAGCTCTGGGGGAATTCTACATGCATATCCACACTACTACCCTGAACACACAAATGGACACACACACACAAAAAAAAAATAAAAAGGTTGAAGATGCAGTTGTCTAGCATGTGGAGAGGGGGAAAAAAGCTGTGACTGCCCTGAAACATTGTTTTTAAGGTACAGTTTATCCCCCTTACTTAGGCTCAGAAAGCTTATTTAAAAGCATACTTCTTAATCAGGGTGGTGGTGGCACACATCTTTAATCCCAGCACTTGGGAAGCAGAGGCAGGTAGATCTCTGAGTCCCAGGCCAGCCTGGTCTACGGAGCAAGTTCCAGGACAGCCAGAGCTGCTACAGAGAAACCTTGTCTTGAAATAACAAAAACAAACAAAAAACAACAACAAAAAACAACAACAAGCATGCCTCTTTTCTCTTTTCCCATATAGAGTGTTGAGATATACAAAGAGTCCTAGTTTTATCAATTGACTGTGTACTGGAACAGGCTTTTTGATAACTACACAAGGACTCAGCTTAGATCAGTCTGAGTAAACAACCCCTCCTTCAGTTTACTTTCTATCTAGGTCATACCTCCCACTCCTGAGAGGTCAAAAGACCAATAGCATCCTTACTTTAAAAAGCTTACCTTCAAGTGTATTTTATTAGTCGATTCAAAATTACTAGTTATAGGGGAAAAATACCTCCTATAGTTAAGTAGGATTGAAACAAGGGCCTTGAGCACACTAGGCAAGTGCTCTACCAGGTTATATCCCCAGTCCATTTTTTTATTTTTCATTTTGAAACAAGATCTTATTAAGTTGCCCAGACTGACCCTGAACTTGCTCTATAGCCTAAGCAGGTCTTGAACTTGCAATACTACTGCCTCAGTCTTCTAAGTAGCTATGGTTATAGGCATGCACTATTAGTCTAGGTACCATCTACTTTAAGATCTTATTATAAAGGTTCAGGGCTGGAGAGATAGCTCAGTGGTTAAGAATACTTGTTCATGCAGAGGACCTTGGTTTGATTCCCAGCGCCCATGTGGCTCACAGCCATTCTAACTCCTAGTTCAGGGTAATCCCCATTTCTGATGCCTGTTTCTGACCTCTACAGCCACCAGTTACGTACTGGTTCACAGGTATACATGCAGGCAAAAATCTCATACACATAAATAAATCTTTTTAAAGTAAATTAATAAATATAAAGGATCAAAAGTAAAAAAGGGCCTGAAGAGATGGCTCAGAGGTTAAGAGCACTTTACTGCTCTTCCATAGGACCCTAGTTCAGTCCCCAGCATCTGTATCAGGTGACTCACAATCACCTGTAACTCCAGGAGATTCAGGTTCTTACTGTGAATGTGTGTGTGTACACATCCTCCCCCGCCCCAATAAAATCTTTTTTTTTAATTATTTATTTTTAATTTTATTTGAATTGGTGCTTTTGCCTGCATGTATGTCTATGTGAACGTGTCAGATCTTGGAGTTACAGACAGTTGTGAGCTGCCATGTGGATGCTGGGAATTGAACCTGTGTCCTCTGGAAGAGCAGTCAGTGCTCTTAACCGCTGAGCCATCTCTCCAGCCCCCCAATAAAATCTTAAAAGGAAGCAAACGTTAACTCCTATCTGGTGAAAAATTCGTATCCTGAATGCTGTTGTACCTAGGTCCCTGGGAGATGGGGCATTTGCTCAGAGTTCCAGCTCAAAACCCTACTCTACAAGGACAGGCCAGCTACAATGTTGAGGCAGATTCTTCTCATGGCTCTTCTCGTTTCCCTCTTCCTCCATGCACACCAACTCATCTTTGGGTACCTGATCTAAATGCTACTGCCAAAAGTACTCAGCAAACAAGAGCTGGGAGTGGGCCTGGGATCTTGGGCAGTTCAGTTCTGACATCCACCTGAATATTCAGCAGTGGTCCTTTCTCATAACACTAGTTTCTCATTTCATGGCAGCTACTTTAGTGCTCTGCAGAAAACTGGAAACTCTGAGCTTCCTAAGCCATGGCTTGAGGGGGTGGGTGTGGACTGGAAAGATAGGGCCAGAGGATCATGTTCAGTTCCCAGCACCCAGCAGATGGTGGCTCATAACTGTCAGTAACACTTCACTTTCAGGAGATCCAACACCCTCTTCGGGCGTCTTCCAGCACTTGGCATGCACATGATACACAGACATACATGCAGGCAAAATACCATACATATAAATAAAGAAAATCTTTTAAAAAGAAAGCGAGTTGCAATGTTTACTTCTTCCCTGTGACATTATACCAGTATCACATTATATTGCCTCATACGAAGCATTAGTCCAAGCAAACCAGAAAGGATCATATCTTGTCTCTAGGTAGACACAGATTTCAGATTACAAATAGACAAAAGATGACTTCTTATAAAATCAGTTGAGAACATCACTTCAGTAAAACAGAAAAACAATAAATGAACTAACCTTTAAGGTCTTATTGTGACGCTGAAGTTCCCTGCAAAGAGACTCCAGTTTGCTTCTTGCCAAGATGGCCTTGCTGTGTTCACTCTGCAGGTGAACTTTCTCTTTCACAATCTGGGCTTGCTTCTTCTGCAGAATCTTCATTTGTTTCTGAACATTCCTGCTCTCCTCCAGCTAAAATTACCAAGCATGTTACATTCAGGAAGCATATCAACCCCCCCCCCCCCCACCCCAGTATCTCAGTGAATGCTAGAAGAATCAGTTATCAGCTATGCAGTTTTCTTTCTTAGACTCACTATGTTGCATAGGCTGGCTTACAACCTTCAATCCTCCTGCCTCAATTTGAGATCTGGGATTATAGGCATGTGCCACCAAGTCCAGCAAAGAGCTGGGCTGGAGGGATGGCTAGGCAGTTAGGAGCCTTACTGATCTTCCAGGAGACCAATTCAGGTTCCAGCACCATTAGGTGACTCACAGTTGCCTATAACTCCAGCTTCAAGAGATCCAACACCCTCTTCTGATCACCATGGCACAAGGCCACACATGTGTTCGCATGTGCGCACATGTACAAACACAGACACAACACACAGACACACACACACACACACAAATGACATTTTTTTTATTTTTTTAAAATATTTTTATTTATTTATTTACTTATTATGCATACAGTGTTCTTTCTGCATGTATGCCTGCAGGCCAGAAGAGGGCACCAGATCTCATTACAGATGGTAGTGAGCCATCATGTGGTTGCTGGGAATTGAACTCAGGACCTCTGGAAGAACAGTCAGTGCTCTTAACTTCCGAGCCATCTCTCCAGCCCCACAAATGACATTTTAAGTTGTAAAAATAAAAGCCCAGCAGGAAGGTCCTGGAAAAATGTGAGCATCAGGAACATTTCATTCAATGAAGATGAATATTCGGATGTCACGGTCCCAGCTTGTAATCCCACCACTCAGGAGGCAGAGGCAAGAGGGTCACCATGATTTTAAGGTCAACCTGGGGGTACATAATGAGTACCAGCTCAGCTTAGGCTACAATATAAGCACCTGCCTTTAAAACAAAAGAAGCCAGCTATTGGGCTGAAGAGAAGGCTTAGTGGTTAAGAGTGCTTGCTGCTTCTTTTGCAGAGGACCTAAAGAGTTCAGTTCCCAGCACAGTCTGTAACTCCAGTTCCAGGAGATCTGATGCTTTCTTGTGGCCTCTACAGATAATGCATTCATATGCACCCCATATATATATGTACATATATATATGTATATATATATATACACACATATGTATATGTATGTATGTATGTATGTATGTATGTATATGTGTGTGTGCATGTTCGTGAGTATGTGCCAAATACTGGGAGCTTAAGTTATAGCTCAGTGGAAGAGCACTTGCCTACCACATGTAACACTTGGGGCAAGGCTCCCTAGCACCGACAAAGTGGGGGAGTGGGGGCGGATGCTGCATCATATAATTTATTCAAACTGTTTCATGCTATGTGACATTACCAACCTCTCTCTGTCCTAGTTGTAAGGAAGGTAAGCAATTTAGTGTGGATGGAAGAAATGACCTTAATCTTTCTTCAGCCCTTTAGATATACTTCATCTTCAGAACCTTTCATTATTCAAGTTACACTTCATTATCCAAATTTTGCTTAACTATATCAGCCCAAGAGTTGCCGAAGAGTAGAGTGAGGTGGAAATTGGGATCTTGAAACCTTCCACATTGACCTGGGGACCTTGATTTGTAACCTTTGACTGACTTCAAAGACTAATTACAGTTCTTCCTGGTTTCAAATCAGTGATTCACGGGCAATTTAGGTTCCTCAATTCCAGCTATAATCCTGTGTTTGTTTGTTTGTTTTTGTTTTCTTTTTTTGTTTTTTCAAGACAAGGTTTCTCTGTAAAACAGTTCTGGCTGTCCTGGAACTGTGTAGACCAGGTTTGGCCTCGAACTCACAGAGATCCGATTACCTCTGCCTCCCCAATGCTGGGATTACAGGCTGCACCACCACCGCCCAGCCTAATCCTGTGTTTTAAACTGATGATCTACTCTATTTCTTGTCCCAAAACTTTCATGCTCTGGATTTAACCCTTTGTAAAATGAGCTAACCCCTATGCTGTCCAGGACTAACTTAGTTGGTAAAGCTAGCATCTCTTGAGTTTCTGTTTGTTGGATAGGTGTCTGTCTATAGACTCTTGCCTATCTATTAAGATTTGCTGAAATCCAAACAGGATTATTGGGACTGGAGAGATGGATGGCTCAGTGGTTAAGAGCACTGGCTACTCTTCTAGAAAACCTGGGTTCAATTCCTAGTACTTATATGATGCTCACAACCATCTGTAACTCCCTGGGTTCAATTTCTAGGATATACAGGCAGCTCACAACTGTTGGTAACTTTAGTCCCTGGGGATATGACACCCTTTTCTGGTCTCCAAGAGCACGAGGCACACACATGGCATGCAGACCTATATGCAGACAAAATACTCATATACATAAGTAAAACTTTTTAATTAAAAAACAGGATTATTGTGCTTTTTGTCTTTATTTTTATTATAAAAAAAGTTGATGTTGTGTCAGCACAATAAGATGGCTGGGATTGGGGGAGGCTTGCCACGCAAACCTTATGGCCTGAGTTCAATCCTTGGTACTCATTCTGGAAAGTTGTTCCCTGTCCTCTGACCTCTACATGTACATTGTGGCAATCAAGTGCCAGCACTCTTTCTATCATACACACAAACACACACATTCACATAAAAGCTGGTGTTTTAGGAATCAATACTGAATTTTATTTTTCTAAAATACTCACACACTACTGAACTAAATTTAGAACTTATTAACTAACCAGCACTCAAGGTTCTCTGTAAGAATTGCTATAATTTTAGGTTTGAAGCAAATGAATCCCTTTCAAGGTGACATCCATACTAACAGATAAGATGGCAGCCTTACCAACCTTTCTGAACAGCTTTTACTGAAGAAGAAAATTGATGCTGAGTCATAAAGAACAAGAGTGCCATCTTGTGGCTTATCAAAACACACCAAAAAACATCCTTGTAGCAGGATATGGAGGCTCAGGCCTGCAATCCCAGTACTTGGGAGGGTAATGGAGGCAAGAAGATCAGGAGTTCAAGGACATCTTTGGCAACATAATAAGTTCCAGGGTACCCTGGGACAAACAAAACTGTGTCTGTAAAAGACCAAACCAATCAAACAAAAACTCCTTCCAAACTATCTGCTTATAAATATTAACACTTAGCCGGGCGGCGGTGGCGCCCGCCTTTAGTCCCAGCACTCGGGAGGCAGAGCCAGGTGGATCTCTGCGAGTTCGAGGCCAGCCTGGTCTACAGAGTGAGTTCCAGGAAAGGCGCAAAGCTACACAGAGAAACCCTGTCTCGAAAAACCAAAAAAAAAAAAAATATTAACACTTTTACAGAAATTCCTACGGGAAGAATCGCTGGTTTTGCATAATATGTGAAGTTGTCCTATTATGGACTAGGCATGGCAATATAATTTCAGAGGCTGAAGAGTCAGATTGAACTACTGCCAACCACCTCTGCTCCAAGACCATCAATTCTGTGTTCATTAATCCTTTTTATGTTATTCCACCTGTGTAGACCTAAATAAAATTTTAAAAAGCAAAAACTTTTTGTTTTTCACTGTTGACTTTAGGATGGACTAGTACAACTGAGGAACTGATATTTTTGCTTTCTTTAATAATTTCCATTAATTTACACTAAGCAGTGACATGGTGACTCTGGGATGCCACATTCTGGATTATATTGCTACAACTCAACAATATTGTTTTTGTACCCACTGATCAGGGATTGTTGGGGCATTGTGGGCCACAGACTCTGTCATGATAAAAAAATTATTCTATGCTTCTCTCAGAGTCAGGTAGGGATAAAACTGGAAAGAACTCCTGTGGGCTTCATTCTGATGACTTGAAGGCAAGAAGTGGGGACCTTCCAGTTGAAAATTTGGGGAGGCAGGTAGGTATCATAATGCCACAAGTCAAGAAGGGCTCAGGCATTCACAGATTCTTCTGGGATTGATGTAGGTGTTTCAGCTGGCTCCAACAGAGAAGGGCAAAGAGGAGGAAAAAGAATCTAGCCAGGAACAAAAGAGCTCACTTGGTAGTTAGAGGATTCCTCAGGACCAACCCACACACAGCACACACTGTAGATAAGGTGCAGCACAGCTCAGATGGAGCCCACATCCAACTCAGCAGTAGTCATGACAACTTCATAGTAATGGAGATTCTAAGAGCTTGTTTTGAAAGCCAGAAAGCCATGCTTCATGTCTAGCAGGAACATCTTCCTGACAAATGAGTCAACAGAGAAGGACATCCCACACATCAGCTTGTATTCCTCCTCCTTGGAGACCCCTGATTGCTTCTTGCAGTGCCATTCACCATAGTGCAGACATGCTCCGTTCGGGTCAAATAGGTATAGGTTGTGGGCAGTCATCAGAACTGCTGAATGCCAATGACAGGCCACTTCCCATTTCCAAAGTTTGTCATGAATTCTTTTTTTGAGCAGGGTCTCACTATGTATGTAGCCCAGGCGGGCCTCAAACTCAGAGATCCACCTGCCTGCAGACTGCTGGGATTAAAAGTGCACACCACCACACCAGTCATCATGTATTCTTTAAATACATTGAAAACCCACTCTTACTTGTGGACAGTTCAGAAAAAACAAGCTTTGGGTAGATTTAGCTCACTGGCTACATAATATATATATTTTCCTAGTATATGCATAAATGAAGTTCTTTAGGGTGCTGGCTTCTAGGTGTTCTATTCATATGACATTACTAAACTTTTTCCAGAGTGGCTGGCAAATCTGTATACCCAATAGCACTGTACAAAAGAGCATGCAGGGGCTGGAGTGGTGGCTCAGTGGTTAAGAGTGCATACTACTCCTGCAGAAGACCCGAGTTCTGTTGCCAACACCCATGTAGGGAAGGTCAAAACTGCCTATAATATAATCCCAGCTCCAGGGCATCTGAAACCCTCTTCTGGCTTCCGTGCACAAATATGCAAACACACACACATACATATGTAATTAACAATAGTTTCTTAAACAAGTAGGAAAAAAGACCAGAGACCATGCAAATCTATCCTCTTTAAGTCATATGAAGAATATTTCTTAATTTTTCCCATGTAAGAGACATAAAATGGACCAGGCACGATGGCACATTCCTTTAATCCTAGCATTCAGGAGGCAGTAGCAACACAGGTAGATCTTTGCTGAATTCCAGGCCAGCCAGAGCTACATAGTGAGACTTTCTCTTAAGAAGAGGAGGGAAGAAGAGAGGGAGAGGGAAATGGCATTTCATTGTGGTCTTCCTCTCTGACCACTACATGAAGTTAATACTTGTACATGTCTTTATGCCCCATTAGGCTAAGTTATCTCTGTATCTTGGTTTTCTACTTTTATGAAATGCCTCTTTCTTATTTTCTGCACAGCTTTCCACAGGTTTTTTTCTTTCATATTTGTAGGTACTCTTTTATTTTTTCATTTTATTATTATTTTACTGTGCTAGGGACTGAATACAAGACCTTGTACATGTAAGACAAATGCTCTACCACTGAGCTATACATCCCTAGTCCTAGTTGTTCTTTCAGATGTACTTTGTAAAATGTTATGTGTATGGGCATTTTGCCTGTATGTACACAATATTTATGTAGTACCTGCAAAGGCTAGAAGAGGGCATCAGATTCCTTGGAACTGGAATTAAAGCAGGTTGTTAGCTGCTATATGGGTGCTGGGGACTCTAACCTTGAGTCTTTTGGACAAGCAGCTAGGGGCTCTTAATCCCTAAGCCATCTTTCCAGCCCCCTTCAGATATTCTTGGTACTAAGTCTTACTCTATTGAAAATGTCCCAGGTTTGTAATGTCATCTTTCAAGGTACTTTGAATCCCTTTTTTCCTGGTCTATAGATTGAACCTGGAGCTGGCACATGCTGGGCAAGCACATCACCACTGAGCAGTATCTCCAGCCCTTTTGTTGTTGTTTTATTTTAAGGCAGTGTCTCACTAAAATGCCCATAGAGCCCTTGAACTTGTGATGCTCTTGCCCCAGCCTCTTGAAGAGCTGGCAGGCATTACAAGCCTGTACTAACAGGCCCCAGTCTTTAAGGTATTTATTGAAGGGACATATTCATTTCAGTAAGACCAATTTCTACAATTTTTATGTATTTAATTACTTATTGTGTTTATGTGCCACAACATGGCTGAGGAGGTTAGAAAATAACTTATAGGAGTCAGTTCTCTCCTACCATGTGAGTCCTGGGGATCCAACTCAGGTCATCAGCTTGGCATTAAGTACCTTTAGCAACTGAGTCATCTTGCTGGCCCAATTTTTACTGTTTGTTTTTTGGAGACAAAATCTCATTGTATAGCCCAGGTTGGCCTCAAACTCACAATAATCCTCTGGCCTCATCCTCCCAAGTGCTGGAATTACAAGTGTGCACCACGACATCCAGACAACTTGTGTAAATTCTTAAAATATATTTAGTTTTGTGTGTATGTATGCATGCATAAGTGTATGTATGTGCACCACACGCATGCAGGAAACCACCAGGGTCAGAAGAGGCATCAGACCTCCTGTAACTGACTGGAGTTCCAGGCAGTTGTGAGGGACTACATGGGTGCTAGGAATCCAACCCAGGTCCTCTGCCAGAGCAGTAAGCATTCTGAACTGCTGAGCCCAACTTGTACATGTTTGATAATGCTTTTCATATGGTAAGAAACTCATCCCAAAGGTACTTAGTGGAGTAAGAGCGCTTTCTGTGCAAGTATATGAGTTCAAATCCCCAGTAATCACATAAAAAGCCAGGCATAGTTATATCCTGTGTTATTTGGGGGACGTATGTGTGTGTCAGGAGGATCACTAGTTCCAGCTTCAATAAAAGACCTGTGTCTCAAGACAATTAAGATGAAAAAACCCACTGTCCTTTGCCACATTTGTATCTCACACAAGAAAGAGAGACAGAGTGCCTTACCACTTGTTATCTCAACATCTGGGTTACAGAAGGAGGAGTCTAAGACCAGTAGTAGTCCATATAACAAGTTCCAGAACAACCAAGGCTACATAAGTAAGACTCTATCTCAACAACAAAAACAAAACAAAAAGAAATCCTTTCTTCCAAAGTTGAGAAAATATCTGACTATTAACAAATCTAAATATTATTTAAAAAAAAAACTTTTTTGAGAGAAGGTCTTATGTATCCCAGGATGGCCTCAAACTCCCTATGACACTGAAAATCTAATCCTCCTGCCTCTACCTCTCAAGTCCTGGAATTACAGGCATGCACCACAACACAAAGTTTAGGCAGTGCTGGGAATGCAACCCAGAGCTTCATTCATGCAGGAACACTGTGTGTGTGACACACACACACACACACACACACACACACACACACACACACACACACACAGCTGTAACACTGAGTTTTAGAAAATCTATACCAGCCAGGTACGATGGCACATGCTTGTAGTTTCAACTACTCAGAAGACTGAGGCAGATTACAGAGCCCAGAAGCTGAAGACTGGCATGCACAATAAAACCAGACCCTCAAATACAAAGGAAAGGAAAAGGTCTATACTGCAGCTTAGCACTATGGTGTTCTCTGTGTGCTAGAAAAAATCAGCTGGGAGTGCTGGCACATACCTTTAATCCCAGTGCTGAAAAGGCAGAGGCAGAGGCAGGCTGACCTCTATGAGTTATTTAATACCAATCTGGTCTACATAGCAAGTTCCAGGCCTACCAACACTACATAGCAAGAACTTGTCTCTAAAAACCAAAAAATAAATAAATAAAATCATGAAACAACAGAAGGCCTCAAGAAATCAGATTCTCTTTCAATTTTTGCATCAAATATTTTACATTTTAAGATACATTAAAATTATATTTTAAAAATCTTATCAAGCATACACACACATTCTGTTATATTTTTATGGCCCTGGTAGTTGTGACTGAATACTCACAAGATCAGCATATTTCTTACAGAGAGCTGCCAGCTTCTCCTCTGGGGTGGAAAGGGTGTTTAGCGCTTGCATCAGCAATAAAACTTCTTTTCCTAATGAGTAACAAAATAAGAAAGAAATCCTGAATAATAAGATCAATTCTAACCTGTGAATTCTACCAATACTTTCCATGTTCTACTCTCAAAAAAAATAATTATACCTACAAATAGGAATGATATTTGCCAGCTCAAATATCATTCTGAAAGCTAATATCTGAAATATCTGAAAGCTATTTTGAGCTGGACATGTTGGCTCAAACCGCTAACTGTGGCATGCAAGAGGATTCTCAAGTTCAAGATCATCCTGGGCCACAGAGTGAGACCCTGTATTAGAAAACCAAAACCAAATCAAACAAACTATTTAGGAATGTAGATGAGTGGGAAAACAATTGGTTACCATGTCCTGTGTTTGATTCTCATCAAGATGAGGAGCTACTTTTTATATTCTGGATTAACAGACTCTCCCTCCTCTATTCCTCATTCTTCCCCATTCCAATTTGTACACTCACTAACACTGCTAACTAAGATTTCTTATTGAAGAGGTAAACATTCCCTTGTCTAACCATTAGATGTCTATGTTAAGACAAATGGCAAATTAAAAACAGCAAAGAAAAATTTTGAAAGCTTCAGTCTGACCAAGTATAAATACAAAGTTTCAATTGGCTATATGCTTTGCTTATGTCAAATGCACATATCTTTCCTATGTGCAGTTTCAGCTACTTTCTGGTGATTTACAGTGTTATTCCTGTGTTAACAAACGTTACCAAAAGTAAAAGAACAGCAAGGTAACTCTTCCCTGTGAAGGGGGTTTAATAGTATTGGCCTCAAACTCACCTGACTCTGCCTCCTGAGTGCTGAGATTAAAGGTGTATGCTATTATGCCTGGTTTAAAATTGGTAATGTTTTAAAGTTATTTCTTTTTGTTTGTTTTTCAAGACAGGATTTCTCTGTGTAGGCCTGGCTGTCCTGGAACTTGCTCTGTAGACCAGGCTGGCCTTGAACTCAAGAGATCTGCTTGCCTCTGCCTCCTGAAGGCTGGGATAATAGACATGCACCACTAGTGACTAGTGCCTGTTCTTTTTCAGTTTTTGTTGTTGTTGTTTGTTTTTGTTTCTTGTTTTTTTGAGACAGGGTTTCTCTGTGTAGCTTTGAGCCTTTCCTGGAACTCACTCTGTAGCCCAGGCTGTCCTCAAACTCACAGAGATCCACCTGCCTCTGCTTCCCCAGTGCTGGGATTAAAGGCGTGCACCACCACCGCCCGGCTGTGCTGGGATTTCTTTTTTTTGAGATTTACTTTTTTTTTTTTTTTTTGGTTTTTCGAGACAGGGTTTCTCTGTGTAGCTTTGCGCCTTTCCTGGATCTTGCGCTGTAGACCAGGGAGATTTACTTTTATTTTGTCTGTGTGAGTGTTTTGCCTGCACATATGTGTACCACATGCATGCCTGGTGCCTACAGAGGCCAGAAGAGGGTGTCTGTTTCCCTGGAACTGGAGTTACAGATGGTTATAAGTCATCATGTGGGTGCTGGGAATCAAACCTCTGCAATAGCAGCAAGCCATTTCTCCAGCCCCAAGGTAACATTTTTCTTTCTTTCTCCCCCGCCACCCCCACCCTTTTTTTTTTTTTTGAGTCAGGGTTTCTCTGTGTAACAAACAGCCCTGGCTGTCCTGGAACTCTCTATGTAGACCAGGCTGGCCTCAAACTCAGAGCTCTGCCTGCCTCTACCTCCTGAGTGCTGGGATTAAAGGCGTGCACCACCACCGCCTGCCACCATTTTCATTTTACACATGAGCTATCTCATAAATGTATGTACCTTAATGACTCTGGTATATAGATTACTATGGAAAGAAAAGAGCAGAATGACTTGAAAATTGAATACGTTTTAATGCGAGCACAGTGATGGCTTGAGCGTATGAAAGATCCCTGGAGCCCAAGAGTTCAGGCCAACAGAGTAAGACACCTTCTTCCACCTCCCAAAAAAGGGGGTAACTTTTTTTGTTTTGTTTTTCGAGACAGGGTTTCTCTGTGTAGCTTTGGAGTCTGTCCTGGAACTCACTCTGTAGCCCAGGCTGGCTCACAGAAATCCACTTGCCTCTGCCTCCCGAGTGCTGGAATTAAAGGCGGGTGCCACCACCGCCCAACCTTTTTTTTTTTTTTTTGGTTTTTCGAGACAGGGTTTCTCTGTGTAGCTTTGTGCCTTTCCTAGAACTCGCTTTGGAGACCAGGCTGGCCTCGAACTCAAAGAGATCCGCCTGCCTCTGCCTCCCGAGTGCTGGGATTCAAGGCGTGCGCCACCACCGCCCGGCTCACATAAAGTTTTATTAGTAAAAACCAAGACCCATTTAACCCAAGATCAATAAGAACATTATAAGAAAGCCGGGCAGTGGTGGCAAATGACTTTAATCTCAGTACTCCGGAGGCAGAGGCAAGCAGATCTGAGTTTGAGGCTAGCCTTGTCTACAGAGCTAGTTCCAGGGACAGCCAGGGCTACACAGAGAAACTCTGTCTTGAAAAAACAAAGAAGCAAATCAAAAAAAAAAAGAACATTATGGGAATTCTTTTTATTTTATTAAGAACTTGTTTATTCATTTTACATACCAATCACAGATCCCTTCCTTCCCTCCTCCTGCCCCCATTATGGGGATTCATAAACTCAAAGAGTTTTTGTTTTTTTGTTTTGTTTTCTTTTGCAGTGCTAGGACTTTTTTGTGTTTCAAACAGAATTTGCATACTATAATTCATTTTTCATCTATTTTTAACTTATTTTTTTGTTGTTTTTAGAGATATGTTACCCAGGTTGACCTTGAACTCCTAGGCTCAAACAATCCTCCTGCCTCAGCCTCCAGAGTAGCTAGGAGGATAGATATGTACCATTTACCTATGTAAAATTAACTTTTAAAACACACCATTTATTTCTAGAGTATAACAAAAAGAAAAAAGTAGACAGTTTAGTGTATTTATAAGGTTGTATAACCATCACGGCTATCCAACTGGGGGGGGGGTGTTCATTAACCCCCAAAACAAACCATACCCAATAGCAGTCACTTCTTGCTCCTCCATCTACCCCCAGCCCTGACAACCACAAATCTACTTTCTGTTTCCATAAATTTTACAATTCTGGATATTTCATACCAAAGAGAATCATACAATGTGTAGCCTTTCATATCTGGCTTCTTTTATACTGCAAAATGCTCTGCTAGATTCATTCTTGAAGATTATAATCAATGCTGCCTTCCTTTATATGGCTAAGTGACAGTCTATCATATGGATAGATCATACTTTGTTTACTCATCATTACATGATGAATATTTATGTTTTTTCTCCTTTTGGGCTATTAAGAATAATGTTGCTATGAACATTGTCTACAAACTTCTGTGTTTATAATTTTCAATCTTCTTGGGTATATTATGCCTAGAAATAGAAATGCTTGTTCATATAGTAAATTATGTGTTACCTTTGACTTTTTATAAATATAATTAGGGCTACTGATTTAGGAAATGTATCATTTCGAAAGAATTAAAATTATTTTTCATATTCCTTAACTTTTTACATTTTAAAGAGTAGCAGGAGATTAAGTTAATAAAAAAGGTAACTCAAGCAAGCCATGGTGGTACACACTCATAATCCAACACTTGGGAGGTGAAGATAAAAAGGTTAAAGAGGTCAGGGTCATCTTTGGCCAGCCTGGGCTATATATGAGACCTTGTCTCAAAACAACAGCAGAAAAAAGAAAACCCCTTCTCAAAAGAAAGGTAACTCTAGACATATATACAACACCCATAGAGCTGGGTGCAGTGGCAAACACCTTTAATCCTAGGTGAATTCAAGGCCAGAATAGTCTACATAGGGAATTTCAGGTCAGTCAGGGCTGCATAGTGAGACCCTGTCTCAAAACAAAAACAAACAAAAAAAACACACCACTTATCAATCATATATGTAAAGTATAAAAAATTGAGGGGTTTCCAGTTGCAGTGGTAAACTTTTAATTGCAGCACTCGGCACTTGGGAGGCAGAGGCAGGTGGTTATCTTTAAGTTTGAGGCCAACCTGGTCTACATAGCAAGTTCCAGTCTAGCCAGGGCTACATAGTGAGAGCTTGTCTCAAAAATAAAATACAAAAAAGAAACAAAAAATAAACAAACAATAAAAAACTGAGGAGTGGGCTGGAGAGATGGCTCAGTCATTAAAGGCTAGGCTCACAACCAAAAAACTGAGGGGTGACTAGTGAGACTCAAAGATTTCAATTTTCTTCATGAGATTCAGCATATCACAAAGTGGTGATCTAGCACAGTGGTAGAGTCCTCGCCTAGCATGCATAAGGCCACAGGTTCAATCCTTGCCATGAGAGAAAATAACACAACATACAACATACGATTTAATGGTTTGGCCAGGTATGCATGCCTTGATGCACTTGAGAGCTAAGTCAAGAGGTAGCCTTAGTTACATAAGAAGTTTGAAGTTGGCTGGGCGGTGATGGTGTGCGCCTTTAATCCCAGCGCTCGGGAGGCAGAAGCAGATGCCTCTCACCTGCCTGGTTCAAGGCCAGCCTGGTCTACAGAGTGAGTTCCAGGATGGCCAGGGCTACATAGAGGAAACCCTGTCTTGGGAGGAAAAAAAAAGAAAAAAGAAAAACTTTGAAGTCAGCTGTAACTATATGAGACCTTGTCTCAAAAAAACAAAAATAAAAAAATGAAGCATATCACATTCTTGGTCTGAAACACAAGCTATATAGAAGAAAGAAAATAAATATCTTTGAAAGCCGGTTAACTCACTTTCTGCAGTACAGTTAACATACTGTCTATAAAATTTTATGTCCAGTCTTAAACTGACGAAATAAATACATAATTTTCACATACTTTTTTTTTTTTTTTTTTTTTTCGAAACAGGGTTTCTCTGTGTAGCTTTGGTGCCTGTCCTGGAACTCACTCTGTAGACCAGGCTGGCCTTGAACTCACAGAGATCCACCTGCCTCGGCCTCCCGAGTGCTGGGATTAAAGGCGTGCGCCACCACCGCCCAGCAATTTTTCACATACTTTTTGATCAGCCTAGTAAAGAAGCAAATAAGGCAAGTCAATTGCCACACTATTCTCAAGGTTTTTTGAGAATTCTTGTTTATATAGAGATAAATAACTAAGCTTCCTATTGTTCTTTCCACCTCCTGTACATAACTGCAGCTGACAAGCTGACTAACCTGAGGCAACAGGTGTTTAAACTGATGTAGCGCTGTGTGTGTGTGTGCATGCACGTGTGTGCACGTGTGCACATATGCTCACACGTGCATGCCACAGTCATGTGTGGAGGTAAAAAGACAATGTGGGTCCCAGGGATCAGACTCAAGCCCTCAGGGTTATCGGCAAGTACCTTTACTCACTGAGCCATTTCACTGGCCCACAACATGTGTTTTAGCTAAGCATGTCCAACCTGGCCACATTCATGGTCACCTGTGTTGCACACAATGTGAATAAAATGAGCAACATATGAAAACAACATCAACTACTGAACAGAGCGTTATTACCTAAGGTTTTCTCTTTGTTCCTGCTGCACTCTGAATCTTGCTGGCCATCAGGAGGACCTGTTCGAGCTTCTTGTCCAGGAATTTCTTCTCTTGACTCCTGTGCACGGAATGCTGAACTCACCAAATTCCTATTCTTTGTTATAAAGTCACTGCCTTCATCCCCTTCCAGTGAATGCTTCTTAGTTGTGCCACCACAACTGGAGTCTTGATGTTGAAGAATATCATTTGCTTGAGAGTTGCACAACATGTCAGCTTTCACTTCTAACCCACAAATTCCAGGTTCTTCCATTGTACCAATTTCAAACTACAGGGAAGGGGATAAAAGATGGAGTTAAATTAAAAGTAATCAACATCTATAACCAATGGCATGCCATAGCTTGACAGCTTTTTACTTAGTGGCTTGTGAATTCGATGTAAATATGGTAGCTTTTAAGCTTCACTGAGACATGATCTAAACTGTTAAACACAAGGTTATTAAAGTTAAAACAGAGATGGGGTATATCTCTGAGGTAGCAGTGCTTTGCTTCAAGAGCCCCTGGGTCTCATCCAGAGTACTTCCAAAAGATAAAGCTAAAACAAAGCATAACTATATGCTACCAAAGGAGGCAAAAATGCCAGTCAGTAATAAATTTAAACTTATTTCCCTATAAAAATTCACCATTTGGCCGGGCGGTGGTGGCGCACGCCTTTAATCCCAGCACTCGGGAGGCAGAGCCAGGCGGATCTCTGTGAGTTCGAGGCCAGCCTGGGCTACCAAGTGAGTTCCAGGAGGGGCGCAAAGCTACACGGAGAAACCCTGTCTCGAAAAACCAAAAAAAAAAAAAAAAAAAATTCACCATTTAAAAATAATTACTATCTTTTAAACAGTAAACTGTCCCAAGCTGATGAACATTAACTATCCTGCTGTTATCTTGAGATGACAGCGCAGCTAGCTAGCTAGGTAGCTATCCACCAAAAACTAATTCCCAAAGTACCCAGTGGAGTAGGCACTGAGGGACAAATGCCAGCACTCAGTAGTAGCACACTACATTTCCCAGCCCCTTGACAGCTAAGTGAGACTCCCATGTTAGTCGAGGCTGTGTTACTTCAGCAACCAGATTTTTATTCTCAGAAGGAAGATGAGGCGATGACTGTCATTTCAGCAACCAGATTTTTATCCTCCATCTCTTTCCCACTCTGATTGAATACAGAGGTCATCAAGGTGCTATAAGTTGGCATGGCCAGATGACAAAAGCAGCCTGGCCCAAATTCCACATCTATACAGGAAAGACACTACCTGCAAAGAAAATGCATACTAGAATACTGGGTGAGTAAGTAATAAACTTCTCTCAAGTTATACCATAGAAATTGAGACTGGTATGTTAAATGCCTCTCCCTATCACTAATATGGAAGGCATGCATACAAAAAACAGACCAAAAATACATTTATTCTGGTTTTCTTCTCCCTTGAATCATTATTTTTACCTTATTCTCTTTTGTAATATTTTTGTTCAAGACAAGGTCTTGTTATACATAGCTCAGGTTGGCCTAGAACTTGCTATCCTTCTGCCTGGGCCTCCTAAATTCTGAGATTACAGGTGAGTACCACCACACCTGGCTAACCCTATTTACTTGTCTTCTCTGTATCCTATTTGTTAACATTATTTGGTTGCATGACACGTCACAACTGTAAACTCTACATTTCCCTTCTGGTTGAAAAGAGGGTTTTTTTCTTTCTAAATACAATTGAGGTACAAGGTATCTAATATAGTTCTCTTACCACAAGAAGAGAAAAGATACTTTGAAAAATTAGTGGAATTAGGGTTGTAGCTCAGTGGAAGGATGATTGATTACCTAACATGTGCATGGCCCTGGGATCAAGCACCAGCACCAAAAAAGAAAACAAGTAACAACAACAAAAACCAACAATACTTTTTTTTTTCAAGTTATGGTTGCTCAGCCTGATGGTTTACACCTACAATACCAGTACTTAAAATGTTATAGCAGATCTGGAAGGAACTGAGGGAAGGAAAAAACATGGTCAAAATATACTGTATATAAAAATTTGTTTTCAATTAAGAAAAAGTTAGAATAAATAAAAAGGTTAAAGCAGGAAGACTGAAGCAAATTCAAGACTAGCCTGAACCGTATTAGAGTTCCAGGCCAGTCTGAGCTACAAAGTGAAACTCTGGCTCAAAACAAAGTAAAATTAATGGGAGCCAGATACTTAGAAAACTCAGGTAGGAAAATTTTGAGCCTGAGCAAAGATAAAACCAACAACAATTAATGATAGAGCAGGAATCTGGTTTTTAAAAGTCTTTTAATGCACTTATTTATTTTGTGTGTGTGTAAGCATGCCACAATACATATGTCAAGTTATCAGAGGACAATTTGTAGGAGTTGGTTCTCTCCTTCTACCTTGTAGGTCCCAGGGATTGAACTTTGGTTTTCAGCCTTGGTGGCAACTGCCTTAATCCATTGAGCCACCTATTATTTCCAATTGTAACGTACCAGGGATGAGAGATGGCTCAGTGGTTAAAGGTGTATACTTCGCTTCTGAAGAACCCGAGTTTGGTTCCTAGCAGCTCACACCTGCCTATAACTCTAGCTTCAGAGGGATCCATCACCTCCAGCCTATAGGAGCAGTGCCCTCACATGCACATACCTATATACACATCTACACACATAATTAAAATAAAATACTTCAAACTGTAACATATCCAGTTGAAGAGCTAAAAACAACTGAAGGGCCTGTTGCCTGCAAGATGTAGGACTCTCAGCTACTACTCTAGCACCACATCTGTCTGCATGCTGCCATGATCCCTGTCATCATGATAATGAACTGAACTTATGAAACTGTGGAAATATTCCCAAGAAACCTTCCAAGCCTTTACAAAAACTTCTGCCCATCTGAGCACGAGTTATGATATCAATGGTGCACTTTTTAGGGGTGAAGACAGTGGAGCTAAGTGAGGTTTCTCAGAAAACGAGTTACCTGAGGTGTGAATGGAAGCCTGAATGTGGTCTTCAGAATGTTTCTCAGACCTCAGTGTTGGAACTTGATGGTCTGTGAATGGGCAGATTTTGATTTTATGTGTGCTGGCTGGTTTTATGTTAACTTGATAGAAGCTAGAGTCATTGGAAAGGAGGGAACCTCAATTGGGAAATCGCCTCCATAAGATCAGGCTGCGGACAAGCCTATAGAGCATTTTCTTAATTAGTGTTTGATGGGGGAGGGCCCAGCTCATTGTGGGTGGTGCCATCCCTGGGCTGCTGGTCCTGGGTTCTATAAGAAAGCAGGCTGAGCAAGCCATGAGGAGCAAGTCAGTAAGCAGCACCCATCCATAGCCTGTGCATCAGCTCCTGCCTCCAGGATCCTGCTGTTTAGTTCCTGTCCTTACTTCCTCCATTGATAGACTACAATGTATAAATGTAAGCCAAATAAACCCTTTCCTCCCCCCACCCAAAAAAAATAATAATTGAAGGATCAGTGAAGAAGGGAATGAAGATATTAGGGCAACTAATACTTATCTTTTATAATCTAGGGTTGATATAAATCAATTACTGTGCTTTTGGGAGGCTGTTTGCATCTTTTAAAGACAGGGTCACAAGTAGTCCAAGCTGGCCTCGAATTGACTGTATCTCAAAAAAAAAAAAATGACTTTGAACTCCTGGTCCTCCACACACCATGTCCCAAATGCTAGATTATAGGCCAGTGACACTGCTTTCTGGACAACAAATTGGCACTGCAATTCTTTGGCAATATGGATAGCTTCTAACCCACTTAATTCCACTCCTAGGATTTCACCCAAGTGTGTACATGGGTTCATTGAAAGGCCAAAAAATGTTTAAAGCAGCACTACTTGGAACAGCCCTAAAATAAAATCAATTCAACAGAAGAATTGATCAATTGTAATATGTTCAGACCATTGAGCAAGGAGAATGAACTACTGCAAATACAGCAGCATGGCTTAAGAGGAAGGCATTGCAGAATACTTACTGAAGGAAACAATCTATATATAAAAAGAAGCAAGGTGAATGGATGGTACTAGAAATGAGGCACTGGTTGGGCTTTCTAGAGTGCTTGGTAATATTTCTTGATATCTGGAATAACACAGATATTATCCTCCTAAAAATGTATTAAATCCAAACATTCATAATTTGTGTACTTTTCTGAACACAGACAAATGTTACTTCAAAGTTTGTTAAAAGTTGCACAAGGATGCTGGGTATGGTGGTACTTGCCTTTAATACCAGCACTCTGGAGACAGCAGCTGTGAGTTCAAGACAAGCCTGGTTTACATGACTTACATGGTGAGACTTGGCCTCAATAAATAAATAAATAAATAACAAAATTTTAAGGATAATACCTAATGCCTTGTATACTATTTAAAAACTCTCTCTCTCTCTCTCTCTCTCTCTCTCTCTATATATATATATATATATATATATATATATATATATATATATATATATATATATATATATATATATTAAAGTTGCAATTTACGGGCTAGAGACATAGCTCAAAGGTAGGATGCCTAAGACCAAGGATTCAATCTCTGGTACAGAAAGTACACACAAGTTACAATTTACATACTACTTATTTGTTTTGTTTTTACTGAGTCAGAGTCTCACTATGTAGCCTAGCTGTCCTGAGAATCACTATGTATATATACCAAGCTGACTTTGACCTCACAGAGATCTGCCTGCCTCTGCCACTGAGTGCTGGGATTAAAGGTATGTGTCACGATGCTCGGCTTAAAGAGTCATAAAAAGGCTGAGTGGTGGTTGCGCACACCTTTAATCCCAGCACTTGGGCGAGAGGGATTGGGGTAGGAGGATCTCTGAGTTCGAGGCCAGCCTGGTCTACAAAGTGGGTTCCAGGACATCAAGACCTAAACAGAGAAACCCTGTGTTGAAAAACCAAAAAAGAGGTAAAAGGAACAAAACAAGGTGGGTACTATGGCTGACATGTAGCAGTAGATCCAGATTCCACGGCAGCAAGGCAATGATGCAGGATACACAAGTGCCTCCAGAAGAAGTAGAGGGAGAAATGTGGACCCATGAACAGACAGGCTGAGGTAGTTTCCTTGAGCCACAGGATACAACTGGTTAAAGAGGAAGAGTTGCACAGTGCTCAGGAGCAGAAGCTCTGAGAAAGCCAAGAAAGCTGCTGAGAGTGAGAGAAGTTTGAAGGTATTGAAAACCAAGTCCTAAATGATAAAGATGGAACTTCAGGAAAGAAGTAAGCTCAAAGAAGTAAGCCCACTGCAGAAGAGGCAAATATGGAAGGGTGGCTTGTGTGTTGCTGACTACTGAAGG